TTTTTGCGGTACGCGGGCCTCTCACTGCTGTGGTCTCTCCCGTTGCAGAGCACAAGCTCCGGACGCGCAGGCCCAGCGGCCATGGCTCACGGGCCCAGCCGCTCCGTGGCATGTGGGATCCTCCCGGACCGGGCCACGAACCCGTGTCCCCTGCATCGGCAGGCAGACTCTCAACCCCTGCACCACCAGGGAAGCCCCATCTCGTAAGACTTTTAAAGTCTATTGGTTCCTCCTCAATCTCACTGTTTTTGTTCTTGAAATTTTTGTTAAAGAAGCTTGCTCATTCTGTAAAAAAACCGAATGCGATAATGACTTGGGTTCTTTATTCCTATTTTGAAAACAATAGGAAAATAATATGTTGACATAGATGAATGTTTCATATTAAAAACAATTTAGATTAATATAGTAAAGGAACACATTTTGGTGTTATTTTATATATAATTTCCAAGTTACTTTTATGTTTTTTTCTAGTATAGTTGCTGAAAATCACTTTACCTACTTGAGAAACTTGTTATTAATGTCTTGTTTTCACTGGTTGTTTCCTTCTGAATTAGCAAGAAGCAGAAAGAGAAATATTTGCTGTGTATCAGAAATTCCTTCATGGGAGGAGAATTAATGCCAGAATGTTGTCAAAGTGAATCCACTTATGTTTCATAGTAAGTAGTAAAAAACAAAACAAAACAAAAACCAAAAAAACCCAAAAAACAAAAGAACACAAACCCTTATGATTCAGACTTTATCATGAAAAATAAAGTGAAAATGTTTATTTTATCTCATATATGGCACCATTTAGATTATAATTGTTAACTCTTAGAACAAAGATGCAATCAAATATTAGTTGTTTTCTTGAGATTATTTTTCTGATGAAAATGCATGATAGAAAGTTGTGACAGCCTTTACGTTTAAATTAGCACAGATCTAAAGAGGGTCATTTTTTTCGAAAGCGTTAGAAAGCTTTATCAGTTTTTGCAAGGGTGTATCCATGCGGTAGAATAAAGATTAAGTCACTGTAACAAAGAAACCATCATATGTCATTTCTAAAATAAGATAGAGGTGTGTTAATCTCTCAAAGTAGGGTACCAAGTCTAGGCTGATAGGCAGCTCTGCTCCATGAAGTCATTCAAGGACTAGGTTCCAAGAGACTGACACACCATGTAAAGCAATTATACTCCAATAAAGATGTTAAAAAAAAAAAAAAAAGAACTAGGTTCCATCTTGTTCCTCCCTTGCTCTTGTCTACAGTGATACCTTGAATGCATAAAGTTGAGTCTGCCATGTGTACTTTCCGGCTGGTGGGGAGGTGAAAAATGCCCTAAATCCGGGGAGAGTAGCTTGTCTTTAAGTTGAAGTTGGCCCACACATCACTTCTGCACACATCCGCTTGGCTTGACCTTAGATGGCCACATGTCACTGCCAAGAAGGTTGGGAAGTATCATCTCTAGTCCATACGTCCAGGAAGAAGGGAAGGATGGATGAGGGCAGGGGGCAAAAAGCAGTCTGCTTCAGTGTGCTTTAGTAATTTAAGTGTAAGTCATTCTTGACACTTGTTGTGTTATTATATATTATTTTTACTAGCTAACTAACTGCAGGATCCTCATTTGCCAGTGGCATTGAGTGTGATGGGAGCAATTCTCCAACATTATTCTCATTATTGACTTTTTGAAAACCCTTATCTTTTGAGTATTTGAAGTTGTTGACTGTTGCATTCCCTTATTCAGTGAGAGAAGCAAAACCTAGTAATGTGGAAGGAATATTTGATTGGGACCTATGTGGTTAATTGATCAGTGAGTAATTTTTATGACAACTTTTGCTTCTCTCTAGAATCACTTAACTATGAATCACCTATAGAGTAAATATATTTGTTGATGCTTTGAGGTATTGTAAGCATATAGGGTGGGGGTCCCCAGAGGAAGAGAACCCGGCCCTTTTAGGCCTAAGCCATTGTGTGATCTAAGCCCGGCCACCATGCTTGCCCTTGCAGAAGAATAGGTCTCAGTAGTTAATGATTTTAAGGGAGCAAAAGAAGGTAAAAACAAACAGCTGTTCCCAGGCCTGGGAGATAACTTAACCATAATATATCAGTTTACGATTTCAAAGGTAAGGATTAGCCTGAAGCACATTCTTGAGCTGTTTTGCAGAATGCACACCCTCTTGAGGGTTCAACCACCAGATCAACTAGAACCTAAGGAATGATGATTTCAACCTTTGCTGACCCTTCTGACTTCAGTCAACTAGTGCCTGGACTCTGTCAACCTTTCCCCAATTCTATGCTGAATTCTCTTTGCTCCAGCCCCAATCTTGCTGTTTGGGGAGACACCGCTTTGGGAAATATCCCTGTTGTCCTCTTTACTTGCTGCAAGAAATAAATCCTTCCTTCTGCTCTTTGGTTTGGTTCTGTCTTTTGGCTCAATACCCACCAAGAGGCAAGTCCAGTTTTCGGGTAACGGTATTACACATGGTTTCTTTTCTCCATCCATTGTTCTTTTTCTCTCTCTTTCTTTTCTCTTCCTCTTTATCAGCCAGGAGGCCCTCAACCACAGTCATAGCCAAGGACCACAGTGGGGACCTTCATTGTGAAACCCAAACTTGTCTTAAAGAGCACATGTTAAATCAATGCATGTACCTGTATTATATGGACAATAAGAAACAACTATTCTTAGTGCAGCACTGCTCAGTCTATTTCCAGGTTCACTTGGCCCCCAGTACAGCACTGTGATCACCCACCATTTGGCAGTGGGCTGGATGGGGACCAGGAAAGATGAGATAAGTCAGCTGGCCTCTGTAACTTTTGCCTTTTGACCTTTTGAGTCTTCTCTTATCTAGACCTAGGTTCAATAGGTCACCAGACAAGGCTACTCAAAACTTTGTAGCCTGCTACAATATCAGTTGGTTGAAAGAAGACACAGTCAAGACTTTAATACAGGTTATCCCTGGGTGCCTTTGTTTCATAGGCAAGGAAGACCTGAGGGCTAAAGTGTTACTTTCTTCTAGAGCTACAAAGCTGCCTGATCCTGGAATAGCTCCAATTCATGATAAGTGGGGAGCCTAGAATGTACCCTTTATTCTGATTGAAGTCAGCCTAGCATTTTTTTCTTCTTTGCTTGTGTTTCTGCTACTCAATTCCCCTTTTACAAAATAAAATTGGGGCTTTAGCTGAGAGTATACGTTGCAGAAGAGAGCATGGTAAGATTTGTTCCTATATAGTAGCTACCCATTTTAGGTACTTTTGAATTGAAATATAATCTACAGGTACTGTTGGCAGGCACACATTTGATTTCTCAAGTAAATGTCAGTCTGATGTTTATTCATGCTAGATTTCTTAAAATTGCAAACAGGCACTAACTTTGTCATAAACCTATGGCAAGATGTGTAATAGGCAATGCGTTCTGATGTATAAATTCCAAAATTGAGGGCTTTAACTAAAGTTTACTAATCTTAGGGCATTAACAAGTATTAGATTGAATTAGATAGTATTGCTGATTTTGTAGGTAAAATATTGCCGAACATTGGCAATTTCATATGGCTTAACCTAGTAAGGTGAGAATTTCAACAACCTTAAATCACTCTTTGCTCCTTCCTGTAAGGAGTTCATCCTTTTTCTACCCTGATAACTAGGCTGTTTGGTTCTTATTTACTATACCGCTTACCATCCTATCATTTGGTAACTCACAGTCACCTCTGTTCCCTTGATTAAACATGTTATGAAAGGGTGTATAGAGTAGGCTGGGTAGCCTTAGTAGCCATTTTAAATATATATATATAAAAAAAAAATATATATTTTCAGGCAGAATTTTTTATGATGAAAAAGAGTTTTTATATCTTTTGGCTAAAATTGCTAGACCATGAAACTGAGATCCATTAGTCTGGTACTCTGATTTGCAACACTGGGCAGAGAATGTAACTTCTTGGTGGTTTGGGTTTCTCATTGGTAAAACAGTGTTCATTACCTGAACAGTGTCCGTTACCTACTTCAGAATATTGGTGTTCAAGATAAGCAACAAGAATTTGCTGTGTAGCACAGGGAACTATATTCAATCTCTGGTAATAATCTACAGTGGAAAATAATCTGAAAAAATATACCTGAATTACTTTGCTGTGTACCTGAAACTGACACAATATTGTAAATCAACTATACTTCAATAAAAAAAAGAATGTTGGTGTTCAAAGACTGTGTTAAGTTTTTCAAACTTTTAACAATTAGCAGTCAGAGTAAAGAAAAGAGTGTTCTTTCTTTTTAAAATAAATTTATTTATCTATTTTTGGCTGCGTTGGGTCTTCGTTGCTGCATTTGGGCCTTCTCTAATTGCGGCGGGTGGGGCTACTCTTCATTGCGGTGCGCGGGCTTCTCATCGTGGTGGCTTCTCTTTGTGGTGGAGCACAGGCTCCAGGTGCACAGTCTTCTGTAGTTGTGGCTCACAGGCTTTAGAGCGCAGGCTCAGTAGTTGTGGCGCACGGGCTTAGTTGCTCCGCAGCATGTGGGATCTTCCCGGACCAGGGCTTGAACCTGTGTCCCCTGCATTGACAGGCGGATTCTTAACCACTGCGCCACCAGGAAAGTCCCAAGAAAAGAGTGTTCTTGTGTTCACCTTCAAGGAGACACAGAGAAAAGGGGCTTAACCTGCAGCTACGAGTTTTATTTTAAAAAGATATTTTTAACCCAGAGTTGGTTCCTTTGTGATTCTTATTTCTGAATGGGTCAGTTCTTTTCGGTGTGGAAAATGGTTGGGAGAGTGAGCTGGAGGACTCTGAAATTTTGTTTCATCTTCGTTTTCTACTTTAGAGCATCAAGCCTATTATTTCTCCAGTTTTTTAAAAAAATTAATTAATTATGTATGTATGTATTTTTATTGAAGTATTGTTGATTTACAATGTTTTGGTAAATCTGCTGTCTCCAGTTTTTAAAAAATATTAATTAGAGAGACTGTCTCCAGTTTTTTAAAAGAGACTGTCTCCAGAGAGACTGTGTCCAGTTTTCTTAAAAAATTAATTATGTGTGTATGTATGTATTTTTATTGAAGTATTGTTGATTTACAATGTTGTGTTAGTTTCAGATGTACAGCACAATGATTCAGTTATACATACTTATATATATATATCTTTTCAGATTCTTTTCTCTTATAGGTTATTACAAAATATTGAGTCTAGTTCCCTGTGCTGTACAGTACATCCTTGTTAGTTATCTATTTTATTTATAGCAGTGTGTATATGTTAATTCCAAACTCCTAATTTATCCCCACCACCTTTCCCCTTTGGTAACCATAAGTTTGTTTTCTATGTCTATGGGTCTATTTCTGTTTGAATATAAATTCATTTGCTCTCTTCAGTTTTTGGTATTGAGAGGTTGGTGTCCGTCTTTTTTTTTTTTTAACATCTTTATTGGAGTATAATTGCTTTACAATGGTGTACTAGTTTCTGCTTTATAACAAAGTGAATCAGTTATACATATACATACGTTCCCATATCTCTTCCCTCTTGGCGTCTCCCTCCCTCACACCCTCCCTATCCCACCCCTCTAGGTGGTCACAAAGCACCAAGCTGATCTCCCTGTGCTATGCGGCTGCTTCCCACTAGCTGTCTATTTTACCTTTGGTAGTGTATATATGTCCATGCCACTCTCTCACTTCGTCCCAGCTTACCCCTCCCCCTCCCCATATCCTCAAGTCCATCCTCTAGTAGGTCTGTGTCTTTATTCCCATCTTACCACTAGGTTCTTCATGACCTTTTTTTCTTTCCCCTTATATTCCATATATATGTGTTAGCATACGGTATTTGTTTTTCTCTTTCTG